GCCCGCTGCCCATGCCAACCGGCATAATGGTCTGGGCCTGTGTGGAAATGTTCCGACACAGCCCCGGAGGCTGTATAACAACATAATAGTTGCAATGGGGTTATCCTGACACCTGAGAGTCTCTTCTTTCTTCTAGGAGGCCATCCTGGAAGAAAGAAAGCTCAGAAGAGATTATTTTCGGTCATGGTTCATAAGCTGCACATGAGCAGCACATGCTTTTCTCTCCCCCTACACCAGCAGCGGCTGAGCTCAACGTTGGCTGGGATACAGGAAAAGAGCGTGCACTGCTCATGCCTTTTGAACCTGGAAGCACGCTCGCTCGCTCCTGCGATGCTGGGCGAGCGCTCAGTCTCCATGTCGAGGAAAAAGTCCTTTTCGGGTTTCGGCCTGACAAATTCTGCTGCAGGAGGTACGTTGCGGCGCCATTCATTTCCATGGCTCCCCAAACGCTCCACCCACACGCAGTGTGATCGCCCGCACTGGAATGCAGGGTACCCCAATTCCACGTGTTCCACTGCAGTGCATTTGCAATAAATTGTGCACGCATTTTTATTCAGAAGTAAAACTTATGTTTTTATCACTGCATTTGTGTATTTCATTTTGAATTAAAGATGGTGTTTAAATTTTTTGTATCCGATTAATCGGAAAAACAATCGGCCAACTAATCGATGATGAAAATCATCATTAGTTGCAGCCCTACTTCCAATGGAGATATTTGTCTCAGTGACAATGGCCTATGAGGAAAATTCCCCTCACTTGGTAGAGATTTTCTTTTACTTCCTGTGGCATCTCCAGGAGAGGAAGTGAAGGGAGATCTCCCCAGCAGGACACCGAGAGCAAAACATAAACTGATGGAGGTTTTAAGGGAGGCTTTATGCAGATATCAAAACAATAGCATGGGTGGGTACCAGCCTGGAGGAATGGACATTCCTAGACAGACTACATTTGCATGCAGACTGCCCTTAGAAGCTGTGATTCAGAACCAACTGAAACCAATACATCAGTGGGGAGGGCCAGGGACAGTCAGGCTGGGGAGGAAAGAACTAGATGATGTGGGACATAGGAAATGAGGCGGGCTCTATGTGACTTGCTGCAGCTTCAAATGCACATTGTGAGAAGCTCACAGTGTGCAGTGAAATCAGAGGAAGCCATTTCAGTCCAAGTGAGGAGCCGGTACAACTGTGCAAGACTGAAGGGAAGGCCGGAGTTCACCTTTAAGTCCCTGATGAATCTCTCAATTGGTTACAGAAGCCAGCAATCTGAAGCACTGGTATTTAGAATATGACATTTGAATGGTCACTTGGAAAACTCTCCATTCAGACATCCTGGAAATGACCAGATTATGGGAAATACTTCACATTCAACTGAGAAATGTCATTGAGAACTTGGTAAACTCTGATCATCACAAAGGGGTACAAGACATGACGGGGCTGAGAAACGCTGCGACACATACAGCTCATTATATGGCAAGTCTCACATGTGACACATTGTGAGTCATAACGTGAGCCAGATGAAATCCCACGGATACTACAAAGTCAACCTAATACACGCTCTATGCATGAGATCGCACATATAATCCATACTGCCAGTAGGGACACGCCAGAGGTACATGCCCTGCATAGCTATTGAGATTCTGAAATCATTTCCTGCTGCTGACTTGCTCCTTCTACATCTGTCACACACAATACTCTGCAGCGACAAGGAAGACGATACGACCCATCCAGATTTCTAATACAAAGTCCTATTCGCATTTTATACATTAAGATTTTTCAGCCATTTGTGCAACCGCTAAATCTATGGCTGAGCAAGCAATGAGCAAGGATGCACGACTGGATGTGGATCTTAGGAGCAGCTCAGTCCGGTTTACAAGTCAGCAGAGACAACCTGCAAGTCAGAAGAAGCCCTGTGTGAAAAAGCTCTGATGAAAGCAGTCATTGCACATGACGTGCTACATGCTAGTTCCGGGGCAATGTCGCAGAACCAATATGCAGTCTAAGAGGCTGGGGATGGTTTCTTCCATCAGAGGCTTTTCACAACGGCGTTGTGCTTAGTGGGAGAGTTCGGTGCGCTTTACGGCCCATTCACACCGAATTTGTTGCATCACGATCCATTTTTAAACAGATGCTAACGGAAGTTTACCGAAAAATGAACGGGTATAAATGCGGCTAGTTCACACGGCTCCGTCCCGTTGCATTGCGCTATAAAAAAAAAAAAAGCGTGCACTACTTTTTCAGCGCAATGTATCCAGTGTGAACAAACCCCATTCACACCCATTCATTTTTCGGTGCCCTTCCGTTTTCTGTTGAAAAACATATCGCAACGCATCGGAAGGAAGTCGGAAGGTACAATGGCAAGTCAACGGACCATCCGCTGACTTGCGCTTTTCCCAATTGTGCTGTGAATGCCCCTGTAATGAGCAAAAGACAGTGTTTGAGATGTAGTTACTCGCTGAAATTCCTTTACTGAACGCTTGCGCTCCCTAGTTTCTGTTCAACCACAGGCAGAAGTACTGACAATCGGGTTCTGCTGTGGGCCCCGTGCCACACTGCGCCTGGTGTAGCCGTGATACATTAAAGGAGAACTATGGGGTCAGGGCTTTTCCCCATAGTTCTCCTTAGGGTAACGGGGGGACACAAACTAGCGTCCTCCCGTCACCCTAGGCTCAGTATACCGCAAGCCACAGCTCGCGGTATACTGAGACGCCGCAGCGGATCCCAACCTGGACGTCGGGATCCGCCCAGCTGCGTGAGTGACAGCTGACTCTGCCTATCTAGAGGAAGAGCCAGCTGTACCCGCCCCCTCCCGTTCCGCCAGTTAGCACTGGGTCGGAGCTGGGAGGGGGGAATCCAGCCCCTCCCCCGTCATGGCAGAGAGCCGTGACAGGATCGAGAGGTGGGCGCACGCCGGTATGTGTTCGCTCACCTCCCGATCTACTGAGCCGACCTGTGACAGTTTGTGTGTGTGTGTGTGTGTGTGTATGTACACGCAAGTATACAGGCAATTATTTTTCCATATCCGTTTTGGAAAGCAATGTGTGATTTAGAGTCTTACTTCTATTTATTGCTTCGTTTGCTTTGCATTTGGTACACGTAGAAAGTCCTATTGTGTTGCGTCTGAACTGCTTTTCATCACCCCTCTGCAACTCAAGGTGAATGCAAACAAAAGCAAGTCAGAGTCACATCAAAGCAAGGCCGTGGCTAACTAGGAGCCCGAGTATGGCATACAGACGCCAGCCGTGTTGCGCAGTATAGCCCGACGCAGTCCTATGATGCTGCATTGGTGTTCAACATGTTGCATTTTTGTACAGAGAGTTCTGACACAGTGTAACGCATTGCCATGCATAGAATTACATAGACGTACATGGCATTTTAGCAACACAGTCAATGTACAGTATTGCATTTTCACACCACACACATGCTACATGCATGATGGTGGTGGTGTGAACTGGCCACAACCCTTAGCACAGGGGGTGGACGAATTAATATTGATATCTGGAGCCAGTCTGTCCAATCCAGGAGTCAGCTCCATTGGCAACAACTAGAAGAAACGTCAGGTTAGGCTCCATGAGAAAGCATTGGCGACCTGGCTCCTGGCATTTGTCCCGCCTTAGCTCAATGCCGCGCTAGTAACAACTCGCCAACGACAAGATCGCTTTACAAGGCAGAGAAATATTCACCTGTTTCCATGATTTACCAGGTGAGCGAGGTGCCACTGACTGGCGAGATAGATTCTGCAGCGTTTCCGTCAGCAATGGAGCGACAGGTCATCTGGTGAGCGAGTATTTTCTACGTGCGCCATGGGCATTAGGACCATGTCACACCAGTAATCGTATCACTAGCGGCAACTCACCACCATTTGGAAATCCAAAATTATCCCCAGGACAAGTTAAGGGGAAATCTTTCAATGGGGAAACCTGTTCTGTCTAAGAAGGTGATTCCCCTCACTTTGGGAGATTTCCTCTAACTTCCCCTTGCATCTCGGGCAGGAAGTGAATAGAAATGTTCCCAATGGACACCCCAATCATAATTACTGGGGGACACTGACACCCTCCTCATCTATACTGGGGGACACTGACACCCTCCTCACCTATACTGGGGGACACTGACACCCTCACCAATACTGGGGGACACTGACACCCTCCTCACCAATACTAGGGGACACTGACACCCTCCTCACCAATACTAGGGGACACTGACACCCTCCTCACCAATACTAGGGGACACTGACACCCTCCTAATCCAATTCTTCCACTTCCTGTTGCTCAGATTTCAATGTTAGCGTGTACACGTGTTTACACGCACACACACATGTAATTTACACAGAATTCTCTGCCCAAGATTCTGGAGAACATGGCAGCTGTGTGCCGGGCCCATAATATACAAGAGCGCTGCGTTCAGATCTGCTAAAAAGTATATACGCTCTACGGATCTAAACGCTGCGCGCTGACCCAAAGACAGCAGACAGAACGCTCCCCTATGGCGCAGTCCCCTTGTTGGAGGAATTTGCAAGGTGCGCTCCGTCCCTGGTGCGCAATATTCTGCAGCAGTTTAGGGTGCGAAGCAAGTTGCGGCGTAGAAGCGTGCAAGCACTTTATTGGCCTAGACTTTTACTGGCGAGTCGGCACCAGCGACAGGATCAGCAGTGTGGCCCTTAGCGCTCCTCTACGTACCCTGCCAGTGATGCCCATGTCATAATTTTGATCCTGTTGCTAGCGGCAACACGTCAGAGCCTTAGCGATATAGTCGCCAAGGCGAGCTAATGACAGAATATACGCTGGCGGTCCAGCGTAACATCCAGGTAAATGACGTCGGCGCCAGAACGCACCAATCCTGCCAAGCGCTGATCCGTATGGCGTTGAACCGCGCTGACGCAAGTTCATAATACTTGAAACCAAACTAATCATTAATATCAGCAGACACATTCCCAGGGAGTAATATTCCACAGCCTGGCCTGTCTCCGGAGGGATGGAGATGACAGGCCATGCTGAGCCCCGCACTCACCTTATACACATCCCCGTAGGTGCCGCTGCCGACCCGCTGGATGAGCTCGAAGTCGTGCTGCGGGTTCTTGCGGAGGATGTCGCCGCTGTGCCGGCCCAAGTTCAGCTCCATACTGCAGGCTAGGCGGAGGGGATCAGTGCCGGGGGAGGCCGGGCTCCGGGGCCATGTCCTGCGGAGAGCACAACAATGAGAGACGGAGGAAGAGTGCCGGGGAGGAGGGGGAGGAGGAGCACAGCGCCACCCACCGGACAACCGCCCGCCCTAGGCCTCACCTCCGCCACGGGGACCTGGGCCTCACCTACAACGGGGAAGTATATCCGCCTTGGGCCTCACCTCCACAGGGGGCCCGGACACCTCTTCACCTATACTGGGGGCAAAAACACTCGGGCTCATCTACACCGTGGGGGGCCGACACCCTCCTGACTAATACGGGGGAACACTGACAACCTCCTCATCAATACTGGGGGGCAATGACATCCTCTTTATCAATATTGGGGGCCACTGACACCCTCCTGACTAATACTGGGGTACACTGACACCCTCCTCATCAATACTGGGGTACACTGACACCCTCCTCATCAATACTGGGGTACACTGACACCCTCCTCATCAATACTGGGGGACACTGACACCCTCCTCACCAATACTGGGGTACATTAACCACCTCCTCATCAATACTGGGGTACACTGACACCCTCCTCACCAATACTGGAGACACTGACACCCTCTTCACCAATACTGGGGACACTGACCCCCTTCTCATCAATACTAGGGTAAACTGACACCCTCCTTATCAATACTGGGGTACACTGACACCCTCTTCACCAATACTGGGGACACTGACACCCTCCTCATCAATACTGGGGTACACTGACACCCTCCTTATCAATACTGGGGTACACTGACACCCTCCTCATCAATACTGGGGGACACTGACCCCCTCCTCACCAATACTGGGGGACACTGACATCCTCCTCACCAATACTGGGGTACATTAACAATCTCACCTGTACCGGGGAACACCGGCACCTTTCTCACCTGTACCTGGGGAACACCGGCACCTTTCTCACCTGTACCTGGGGAACACTGGCACCTTTCTCACCTGTACCAGGGGACACCGGCACCTTTCTCACCTGTACCGGGGAACACTGGCACCTTTCTCACATGTACTGGGGGACAGTGACACCTTTCTCACCTGTACCGGGGGACACCGACACCTTTCTCACCTGTACCGGGGAACAGTGACACCTTTCTCACCTGTACCGGGAGACAGTGACACCTTTCTCACCTGTACCAGGGGACCCTGGCACTCTCCTGACTAATACTGGGGTACACTGACACCCTCCTCATCAATACTGGGGTACACTGACACCCTCCCCACCAATACTGGGGTACACTAACACCCTCCTCACCAATACTGGGGTACACTAACACCCTCCTCACCAATACTGGGGTACACTGACACCCTCCCCACCAATACTGGGGTACACTAACACCCTCCTCACCAATACTGGGGTACACTGACACCCTATTCATCAATACTGGGGACACTGACACCCTCCTCATTGATACTGGGGTACACTGACACCCTCACTGTTATCTTTCTCACCTGTGCCGGGGGAACACTGGCACCTTTCTCACCTGTACCGGGGGACAGTGACACCTTTCTCACATGTATCGGGGGACACTGGCACCTTTCTCACCTGTACCGGGGGACGGTGACACCTTTGTCACATGTACCGGGGGACAGTGACACCTTTCTCACCTGTACTAGAGAGAGGGGACTGTGCTGGTGCACTGACTGTCATGGAGTAGTCAGACTTTCTAGCACTGTCAGACCCCGTTCACATGTAGCGACATACCTTTGCAGCGGCCGGGATAGCGCGACTTTCGGGGCAACGTTCCAGCGATGATCCAGCGACGGTAGCGCGACCTTCTCCGTCGGGCTCCATGTAAAAAAAAAAAAATCCGCCGAAAAAAAGGGTCCGGTAGAAGCGACCGCGACGAGCGACATGGAGTTAAGACAGCTCCATTGAATAGCATTGGCCGGCGACTTCTCATGATATTGCGCGGCAAAAATGCGCGATATGGCGGCGGAAATCGCGCGACAAGTCGCTATATGTGAACGGGGCCTCAGGGTCACATTAGTGAATGGTTGCTGACTGGGTCTCATTTAACGGGTAAGGACATTTTTAATGGGATAAATATAAATCTTACACCGGTGTTCTGTCCAAAGAGCAAGTTCATCGAAATCTCCAATGACGTCACTTCTGTTAAACAGAAAGACTGGAGGAGCTGTGTGCAGCCGCGGTGCGCATGCGCACATAGCATTTTCACAATATTTGTTGAGTTCTCCAACAGCAGTGGATGCGCGTACAACATCCAAGCTACCAGAAGACTCAACTTTGCCATCTGCTCAGTACTGTGAAAATGCGCCTGTAGAGAGCGCGTGCAGTCTAACGTCGTCTCGTCAAAATTACCTGCTGGAAAGTCACCGACAGTGATGTGATTGGAGATTTTGGTAAAATGGCTCTTCCAACAGAACACCAGTGTTCTATTGAATTCTCCAACTCGTTGAAGACCTCCAACCCAAGCCACCCAAGTGAAGTATTAAGCTCTACAATCTGCGGCAGTGCACCTACACGGGCACCCTATGCCACATGCACCGACGGGAGTTGGAGAACTCAACGACCATTTAGAAGGCGCACCTACGGCAACTGGAGAAGTCAAGGATTGCAAGAACTGTGACAGCTGGCGCACGTGCACTAGCTCCATCTTGTCGAAATCTACGATGGACATGACATCACAAGTTGGAGATATTGACGAGTTGGCCACCTGTACAGAACACTGGCATGACTGCAGTTATAGTTCGAAGGCTAAACATTCAGTTTCTGCATAAGCCTGCTCATGACAGGTGGTCTTCATGGCACTGTGTGTTGGGTGAAACATATCGAGTGGCTGTAGCACTTCAAATTCCAGCTTACCTTGCCTGCTCTGAGACACGGTGGACAGAAAAAATTACATGCAGTGTAGCTGCTCATCACCGTCTCATATGGTTCTCCTATAACTTTTACTAAGGGCAAAAACGATGGTGTGCCCGAAACTAACATGGCCCCTGCTATAGAAAAACAAATGACGTCAGCGCTCAGCTTTGTGCGCAGTCGATGACTAATAGAGTGCGCGTGACACTACTTCCGTGTTTTCCAGCCCGCTCACAGTCACGAGATACTGGCTGTTCTATTTATAGCGGTAATAAAGTTGTAAAAAAAAAAGTTCCACGTTGATCTATACGTGCGGTGGCACTGGTGTGCTCAGCTGTAGTTACTGCCTTTTGGCCATAAGGGGCCGCCTGCGTATATGTAATAGGCTTGTATAACGTGTTGATTTGCATATATCCGGTTAATCAGAAGGCAGATATTCCTGTGTTACTATAACTTCCCCCCTATATGTGGTATGATATCGACCCGTCCGCTATTTAGACATTAGGAGTGAGAGTGTACCACTTGTGCGTTTCAGGGAGATCCTGTGTTGCGGTGTCTGTCGCCACCTGGTGGCCAATTGCTGTTACTACACGGGTCTGAAAATGTAGTGCATAGAGTTGATTAAATTATCATTTTGTGACATTTCAATAAAGTTTTTAAAAAAGAAATGAAAAATGTTGAATGCATTGTAACTACTGCGCATAAAACAGAATGCATGCATTATGTAAACCATAATGCCTGCATGCTGCTGTGATGGGCCCTAGTCTTCCTGTAACGTTTATGTGGAGATTCTCATGCTTTTGGCCAGGGAGGGTGTATTGATGGCGATAAAACAGAATATTATAGCGTATATATATTCCCACATTTGGGTGTTTTTATGGGATAGAGTGGAGAAGGATTAGAACACCTGTCATATTTCACTACCCTGGTAGGCTGCGTTGGAGAGAGACGTTCACTTCCTGTCTGGCTAAAGCGTTGTCCCCGGGACAGGAAGTAAGGGCAAATCTGTTTCTAACAACAATAGGAGTAGAATGCCTGGCAGAAAAAAAGATAAAGTAACAAAATCAGCGTTTGCTGCAATGTTCGCCTTTAATCCTGAGAATTCTGCGTGTGATTATGTGCAGCCACCTATGGGAGGACGCAGTTACACAGACATCCCTGCAGGTCTGGGCGCCCGCATCTGGACACAGTGAGGGGGAATTTATTACAATCTGGAGCAGCTGTGCATAGCAACCAATCAGCATCTGTCTCATTTTCAAATCTTACCTAAGCAGACTGAAGAGAGCTGCTGATTGTTTGCCACTGGCAACTGCTCCAGATTCAGTTTGCTCCAGTTTTGATAAATTCCCCCCAGTGTGCGTCCAAGTGCAGGTTCCAGTCGGCACGTAGCCGCCTCTCCCATAGGGGGGTGACGGCGGGTGCATACATATTCAGGCAGCACCTCTCCCGGTAGCAGTTCTCTACACGGTCATGCATGACGTACAAACGTGGACACCCGTGTGAATGAGCCCTAAAAGTATAAATCTGGAGGCACCCCATCTAAAATGTAAAAGTCACTTACTATCAATGCAGGCACCAGTCACTGGGCCATGGCCTGAACCCCCTAAATTCATGTCATATGCCAGTGACTTTGCCATGGCCTGAACCCCCTAAAATTCATGTCATACGCCAGTCACAGTGCCATGGCCTGAACCCCATAAATTCATGTCATACGCCAGTCACAGTGCCATGGCCTGAACCCCATAAATTCATGTCATACGCCAGTCACAGTGCCATGGCCTGAACCCCATAAATTCATGTCATACGCCAGTCACAGTGCCATGGCCTGAACCCCATAAATTCATGTCATACGCCAGTCACTGTGCCATGGCCTGAACCCTCTAAATTCATTTCATATACCAGTCACAGTGCCATGGCCTGAACCCCCTAAATTCATGTCATATGCCAGTGACTTTGCCATGGCCTGAACCCCCTAAAATTCATGTCATACGCCAGTCACTGTGCCATGGCCTGAACCCCCTAAAATTCATGTCATACGCCAGTCACAGTGCCATGGCCTGAACCACCTAAATTCATGTCATACGCCAGTCACTGGGCCATGGCCTGAACCCCCTAAATTCATGTCATATGCCAGTCACAGTGCCATGGCCTGAACCCC